TTACACTCTGCACCGACCCGTGAAGATCCGGTGTAGAATAGGTCTTCAACAACCTATGCTTGCCGTATTAGGCGACTATGCTTGTCGTAAAAGGCGACTAACGGGATCGGGTGGTCAGGCTCGCTGACTTGGTTGAAGCATGTCATCGATCCCAATTGCGTGGATCGATGCTCATGATATCAACCACTGGATTGTCTTGTCCAGACTCGATTATTTACAGACCGCCGTCATATTGCTGGAATATTGCTGATAATATTGCAGCGTAAAACAACAAACCAACCAACCACCCTTCAGCACCGTTTGTATAATACTATGTGCATGTAATTGGAACTTTATCCTAAAGTAGGGAGAAATGTGCCAGGTGTTGTATGGAACAGTGTGGTAGTAGACCGTATTTCAGTGTTGACTGTAATGGTTTACACAGTTCTACAACGTTCTACAAAGTAAGGGGGTGGTCGGGTAGCCTAGTGGTTAAAGCATTCGCTCGTCACGCTGAAGACCCAGGTTCGATTCCCGACATGGGTACAATGTGTTAAGGCCATTTCTGGTGTCCCCCGCCGTGATATTGCTGGAATATTGCTAAGAGCGCGTAAAACCATACTCACTCACTCTACACAGTAAGACAAACGACCCCTCATACACATCATACGTTTACAATTAGTTCGTAATAGTGAGTGCGTGTGTTGGTTTTACTCCTCTTTTAGCAATATCACGGCGGGTGACCCAAGTAATGTGGGGAATCGAACCTGAGATCGGCGTGACGACCGAACGCTTTAACCCCTGGACCACCAACTTCCTAAAAGACTCACATAAATGCGTATTTATCAAAAATATTGGAAATAGATGACTTCCGAATTAATTTTCTCGGGTTGCGCTATGGTTATGTTTATTATATCATGGGAAACTATTTCCCTGCTGTAGTGTGTTATCTGCTGTTTGAGTTATAGCAAACCTCCTTAACAGAGACACACACTTGTCGCCTATAGGAAACTCGAATACTACTTAAATGTTAATATCCTGCTGATAGAACAGATATATGTAGAACTGATATATTACTTGTCTTACCGTGTTCAGGAAGCTGTCTGGTAATATCCATAGTAATAGTGTCAAATTCATCTGATTACACGGAATTTTAAATTTACATCGCCGTTACCGTAAATCATTATATTCCCTTGTTTTAGTAACGTGTCATATCTGATTGATTAACTGTTTATAAGATCAGATGTTTGCTATTTATTGAAGGTATCGTCTTTAAGGCATTATACAGAGTAACAACAACATCACGTAAAATAATAACAGTATGATCAGACCAACCAACCGACCAACCATCCAACCATCCAACCAACCAGCCAAACAGCCAACCAACCAACCAACCAACCAAACAGCCAACCAACCAACCAACCAACCAGCCAACCAACCAACCAACCAACCAAACAGCCAACCAACCAACCAACCAACCAGCCAGCCAACCAATCAATCAATCAATCAATCAATCAATCAACTATCCAACAATCCAACCAACCAACCAACCAACCAACCAACCAATCAACCAATCAACCAACCAACCAACCAACCAATCTGGAACTATCATATGATCATAAACAAAACATTCCTTTTACTGCTTTCGTTGACGCTCAATAGCACTGGTATCTATTTTTATAAAACACTATGCCAAAATACATGTGTACACAACAAATTAATCTGCACTAAGGACAAGATCATTAATTCTTTAGGAACAACTCTTCATAATTCTAATCACAACATGTATACATTTGGCATACATTTTCGATAGAAGTTTTTGTTTGTATGTTGGTTAACGCCGCACTAAGTAACACTCCAGTTATGACGTCGCTCTGAAACAATCGAATCTGGACCCACACAATTCAGTGGTTGATATAATGAGCAACGACCCACGCCGTCGGGGTACGATGACACGCAAACAACCAACTCACCGAGCCTGACCATCCGATCCATTCAGCCGCTTCTTTTCAAGTATGACTTGCTTGGGACAATTCATATCCCTGAATCCCAGGACGTTTTAGAATTTGAATGCATGTTTATCTTAATTGTTTAATATTTTTAAAGAAAATGTAAATTCTTAAAAACATTTGAAACGAACTTCTCCTATAATACATCCGTGAAATTAATTTCAAGATTAGTATAGTTCTTAAAAATCGCGATCATCTACTTGAGTACCAACGACTTATGTCAAAGATAATTTACATTTATACAAACGAAGATGTTTCTAAATAACTGGACATAATACAAGTAATGTGTATTTACTGTACATGCCGCTGTCGATATATTTATGGAAACTTGCCTAATATCGATATATCTGGAAATCAAACGATTTGATATTAAACATTTATGATACCATTTTGTTTACGATTTTGGTATGTTGAGTGTGTGGTCCATCTAGAATCTTAAGCATCCGCTTCCGTATCAAAATAAAAACTCATCTGTTCTCGGGTACATTATGCAGCAACTACACACAATAACATTTGACAAATATAATTATTTAATATTATTGCGTAATACTGTAAATACCTTGTGTGATTAACAGGTAATGCATAATGAGAAACAAGCTGAAGTGACAACTTTCTCTCTTTCTTAAATAAGTTTAGTATATCAAAAGTTTCAAAACATATCATGTTCAATTCACATGGAACTTTCAGGAGCGTGGTTCATATAAACACACAGATGTAGAGATCTATGTATTATAGGCATGAAATCGTTATACATATTTAGATAATTAAAGGGAAGTTAAATCAATAAGTCATAGAAATAAGAGGGAATGTATACCAGATATTATAACAAGAACTGGCACCATCTTAGAGTGCGGGGACACACTCTTCGTCAGAACGGGGGTCGTATTATAGGCATGACATAATGGTAATTAGCAACTAATTAAGACATCTACAGTAATTATATAAGTAGGCAATATGAGGGGCTAAAACAGTAGGATATAAACTACCGGGCAAAAGAAAGTTTTCACTTTAAAAATAGTTGTATAAAAAGCACAAAAGCTGGTACAGGTTTGAACCCCCGCAGAAAACATTCCCCCAAATGCAACATGACCACAACCATAACGCAGATTTTCGAACGCAGCTTTCCAAATCATGCATTGTTGAAAACGTGCAAAACACCAAGTAAAAACACCAAGAATATGCCCAGACTTACACAAGCGCAACGAGACAGAGCGATCGGTATGGCAAATATGGGGGCTACTCAACGTCAGATAGACAGAATCTTCAACTGCTCCCAGACCACCATCAGTAAGTTGATAATCCGCTACCACCAGACAGGACAGACTCAAGACCGGCCAAGATCGGGAAGACCGAGAGTGACAACACCGGCCGAAGACCGCTACATCCGGCAGATTCACCTCCAAAACAGATGTGTGACGGCGACGTCAACGGCGGCAACAGCACTAGGGCATGCCATCAGCAGACGAACAGTCCTTCGACGACTTCGTTCGGCTGGTATACGAGCCTACCGACCCTTCCGTTGTATGGCCTTGATCCGTCTACACCGTCAACGCAGACTGCAATTGGCACGAACTGTACGTCGGTGGCAGCGACGTGACTCGGCGAGCGTGCTCTTTACAGATGAAAGTTGGTTCTGTCTGTTCAGGAACGATGGCAGAGTTCGAATTTTTCGACGAAGGGGAGAGCGACTGGCGCCAAACTGCATTAGAGAAGTTCACCCTTTTGGAGCTGGAGGCGTCATTGTATGGGGTGGCATTTGTGGCCAGATTACAACACGGCTGGTTATCATCCGAGGAAACCTGAATGCTCAGCGATACAGGGATGAAGTGTTGAGACCTGCTGTGGTGCCCTGTATTCAACATCAGCCAAGAGGATTAATTTTGCAACAAGACAACGCAAGGCCTCACACCGCCCGAATTGTTCAAGACTACCTGAACAACGTTAACGTCAACGTATTGCCCTGGCCACCTTGTACTCCAGACATGAACCCCATTGAACATTACTGGGACCTTCTTGATCGTCAGCTGAGACAACATGTACCGCCTCCAGCGAACTAACAGAAACAGGAGGGGGGGGGGGGGGGGGGGGGGGGGGGGGGGGACTAAACTGGTGCTCCGCTCTCGGCTTGTTGTCACGATCCTTCGAAACAGAAACCAAACTTAGGCACCAGCATTTCGACTGAGACTGAACCTTTGCGACCGAAGTCTCGTAATTAAGTGACAAATAGAGTGGGTTGACCGGCAACACAAAGTGGGATTAAAAGCTGTTAAACGAAGATCACTCTTTGTGCTTGTTGGAGCTCGAGGAACTACGGTAAAAGGTCCAAGGCCCTCGGGTACTGACATTGTACCTCTCGCACATCCCACACTGTCAGCACCAAGAACGAGGGGATTGCCGTAGTTCAGGTGAAGAGGTGCACGAATTGGTACCTTCTTATTAATAACAATTGCCGTCAATTAACACCGTAAAATTACCTTGGACATATGTAGGTTTAAAGTAATTTGTGTAGTGAATGCCTGTAGACAGGATAAGAGTTCGCCAGGGAGCTTGAGATAAATATGGTTTGGAGAGGAGGCGTGTAACAATACACATTGGATACACAGCTCCATGTAGTTATTGCTGAATAGCCGTGAGGATAAGAACGGTCGTTCTATTCTGTCCACGCTGCCACATTCGTACTGCAACATCCATACAAACTAACGCCATAGCCTATCCGCCTTATGTGTAAGGCCGATAAGTATAATATTATGGTTTCTGTCCAATACATTAAATTTGGACTTGACTTGTACCATATGTGTGTTTTTCCGGTGAACAATTGATTTGCCTTGACATGTGTTTGTGACAGGTGCAACTGGTGGGCAAAACACCTACTATCATCACTATGTGATAGTGATTCATAAACACATGCTCATAATATAGTTGGAATCGTACAATCGAATCTGCTTTTGGAAGAGATTTTGTAACTATTCCTTACGTTTTTTTGTTTTAGATAAGTCGTATGCTAGTTGGTCGCCTCTTACGACAAGCCTAACCACCATTACATGTTAGGTCAAGTTCGGGCGTAAGTACTTCAAATGTTATCATACTTATGTATTATGTAATATTAATATGTACCATATGTCGAATGTGTCGTGATAATTAAGTTACACTACTGCCTAAAAGTTCATTCCCCTAACACGCGTTGAGAACGCGTGTAACACGCATGTGACACGGGTGCTCAACGGGTTGCACACGCGATTCACACCCGTTGCACGCCCGATTCCAACGGGTGTGAATCGCGTGTGCAACCCGTTGCACACGCGTGTGCCACGCGTGTAACACGGGACCGGGTTCCAGTTGAAGTTGACAAATTTATCAAATGAATAGTGAAATAAAACAAAACCGTGAGATGTGAAATTTGAGTTAATGAGCGGCCATTGAGCTGTGTTCACCAGACCGTAAATACAAGGTCGGCCCATCTTAATTAGTGTTCGGTTGCTAGACTTTTATGGCATGAACCATTCCACTAGGGTCCAGTCTAGCCATTGTGGCTAGCCGACAGTAGAACAGTAGTGAATTTAGATGCGAGTTTATTGCTAAGAAACCCCCGTGTTGACACGATTGTCGCGGGTTGGTAAATGTTCGCCATTAATAAAATAATTGTTTGTGGATTGCAAACATATTCATTTGCCCACACGAGTCATTCCATTTGATTGCAAATATAACGTTTTTCGTTCGCCAAATTTATGCTTTAGACAGTTCAATTATGACATAGCCGTCACCACCACTAATGTCTCATTATTTCACGTAGGAATATGTCCCATTTCTCCACACCCAACTTTCTGTGTTGTATTTTGAAAAATAAATAAAAGAAGGTTTTGTGTGGGACACTTTTATACTAATTATAAGAGGATGTTGTAAATGAATATGAACAGCCATGCTGTCTGACAGTTGATAAAATTTGAGATCTTCACAATCACCGGGTGTGACCATGTAGACTGAATCTCGTTAGGGTTTGTGATTTTTACATTTGCCCAATTACCATAGTGAGTATTGCTGGGGATACCAAACGTAACAGTTTATTATTAGAGGTTGTGAGTACCTATACCACGTAGACAGGATATCTTTAGGATTTTAATCCTTCTTTGAGAGGCATTTAGAAGTTGGAGTACTACGTTAGGATAAGATTTATGGGTGACTTTAATCCTTTCTTTCTCTGTGGGTAATCCTTTCACGTTCATTTGAGGAAGTCACTCAACCAGGTCATGACAGGTCGTGAGTTTACTTACTAACTACTGTGAGCGTTTTTGGCATGACATCTTTTCTTGTATAAACATAGAAACGATGCTCACTCACTCACTGTTAATCTTCTGCAGTTTGCTGGCAAAGTGGGGATAAACCTCAGTGTCAAAGACGATCAAACTTAGTTCGAATCCTTGTTTATATGTGACATCTCCCAAATGGGGACATTTTCATAAACTTGGCAAGTGATGATGAATTTTAATATTAATATTATTATAGTTTATGAAATTGTTAATAAAACTTTAATAAAATTGTGCTTCACTCTCACGAAAAATATATTGTCTGTGAGTAAATTTATTTGTCACGTTACATCGGCATTTTTCAGTGATATTGGGACTACATGAAACATGGCTGGTTTTACATTTCTGATACAGGTGCTTGACTGACTGAGTAGTTCATGATCAATAAGATATGTTTAAATCAGTCAAGTTTGCAACAATAGATGAATAAGTTGATACATTTGGACCGCAGTTACCGATTAACAACTTAAGACATAGAGACAGGGAGGAGATATATAACCAAACCTATGATCCTGTTGAGACAGTTGACAGTTAGAACGTTGGATTAAACGACAGTAACTAATTTGAACATTCCCCAGTTATATCATAAAATACATCATAACTCATAACAGTCCGAGAGACAGCTTCCAGACATATACTAGTATTGAAGGGACAATCGCTTTTGACAGTTTAAAAATAAACTCACCTTAAGGTGCTTGGCAAATCAAAACTGACCTCCCTGAATATGTTTTTTAGGTTTGACAGCAACTATGCTTGTGGATTTCAGAGATAGACATGATTGGTTAGCTAGATGTTATTATAATAAGCGAAAATGTCTTAAAAGTCCACAGTTGGTTTAATAGTACAAAAAGTGTGTTATAGATCTATCAACGTTTTCTTTTATTGAACATAATATTGGCACTATATTGCTGTAAGCTGTAAATAATCTAGCCTCCCCATGTACGTAACTTACATATATTTATGTATGGCCAGAACAGCAGATAGAGTTCTGGTAGATAGGTACCTCGGAGATATAACGTGCGCTTTCCGACTTAAGCCTATCTCGCACACGGGGAAGCACTTGTACTATTAGGGTAAAAAAGGGTAATGATTAAATAAAGAAGTGCAACCCCCCCCCCCCCCCCCCCCCCCTCCACCCACCTACCCACCCACCACCACCACCCCGAACCACCCCACCCCCACCCCCCAAAAAAAGAAAAAAAAGTCTAGTCCTTGTAGCAGTCTTCTCATCCTGGGGGTCGGGATTCTGGTAGAGACTCTTGGCAAGGAGGGCGGCGGTATTGGCGACGAAGTGGTTTGAGGTCGGTACGCCACTACTCTGGAAGAAGTGGTACAAGTCTGTGTAGTTTGTGATGTCGTACTCGATGTCCTGTCCACCCTTCTTGTGCACCATGACGAAAGGGACTCCTTGTTTGGCGTAGAGATATTCCTTTGGGGTGTTGATCTGGTCAACCTTGAGATCCGGCCGGGGCCTGTAGTGGTTGATCGGAATGTCTGATTTTTCCACTAGTAAATAAAGTTCTTTGGTATGACCTCTTTTATCCCTGCTGACGTTATCCTAATGTTCAATTTCAGTCTGCCTCACCAAGCGTAAGAAAGCATTGTACACGTTCTGATAAACCACACTGATGCAATTAAGCAAATGAATATTTGCTGTGGGCAAATATCTATTTTCTATATATATTTGTAGATATGAAGCATTCTAGTTAATTGTGGATGCATTGGGCAGACAGAATTGTGTTTATTTCCAGGCCATCCTGATCGTCGTTTACTACTATAAGGTGTATGGTTGGAGGCAAGATCAAAGGCGCCGCACAGCATTTATTAGATAACAGACGGGGTCGTCCGTTTCGCTTTGAACAACCACCCCACCTGTCTGTAGGTGTTATATAATCGGTGCGCAAATAATTGTGTCAAGTCCACTGCCGGGCTGATGCGGTGTCAGTGTCAGCGATGAACATGAATGCTCAAATTATAGACTTGTAGCACTCACAAGTTGCTTAGCCAAATTATTTGAAAAGTGTATATTCAATCTCTGATAACAGGAAATATAACCTTAGAAAAAGATTCAACATACAAACAATCAAATGTAGAACACAGTCCTATGCTTATTATCATTTCTTCTGGATATGATCAACCTGCGGAACCCTCTATCCGATGAAGTAACTAATGCTCGCTCATTAAAAGAAATCAAATCCTTAATTAATCGTTCTGATGCAATTACTAATAATTTTGACTTCAAATATTTTCATAGATCATGCCAAATTGTCCACTGTCGCCTTAGGCTCGGCTGCAGTGACTTAAACGCTGATAAGTTTAGACGACATGTATGTATCAGACATACCAGACTGCAGTTGTGGATATCACCTTGAAGATGCAATTCACTTTTTCTATAACTGTTAAAAAATACGATAATATCAGAAACACTGTGTATTTCTACACACATGGGTATGGTCTAAAAATTATATTACATGGCAGTAGTTAAGCAGTTCTACAAACATGACTCTTCTTAAATCAGTTCATGACATCATTGTCAAAAGCAAAAGGTTTGAGTAGCTTAATTTTATGCATGTAGTAAAGGAAAACTGCATTACTTTATTTCAAAGACACCACTTGCTTGCTTTCATTTGTGCATTTTGTATGTTTATGTTCATCACTCTCTTATATATATCCAGCTGTTGTTAAGTTGTTACCTGGAGAGGTATTACATAAGCATGTTTTGCTTGTTTACCGATCCAGATTTCTTTTGAAATAAAAATACGTTTAAGCCAACACACAGCTAACCGTAAAACACATGATTGTAAACTATTCAAAAAGGGGCACTAATCTCTTGCTTCTTCTCGGGTGTCGGACTCAAACTCATTTATTCTTAGAATAACATGACATACAATTATCTACAATTTTTATTATGTACAATTTAATAAAAATAGGATACGTGGATACAAATACAATTTACCAATTGTATTGTACACATTGTTATGGAATTTAGATAGGCCTTTAAGATTTCTTACACTGTTAGTGGTCATAATTTTCTTAAATGTTTGGAAACTTAAGATATTGCTTATTTAAGAGTTCATATCGCCGTTGGTGAAAAGCTTCACATCGGAATATATAATGCAATTCATCTCCCACGGCGATAGAATCACAGAGTGGACACTGGTTGTCTTCCCTGGGAATGTTCAGCCATCGACCAGTTTCAACTGGTACTCCTTGGTTGGAAAGTTCTGACTTTTAGTATTGGGAGAAATATTGATTTTGAGAGCAGTAGATATTTCGCAAATGAAGGTTGATTCTTCAGGTAACACGACCTTTGGATTTCCGCTTGGGCTTACTAGCTGCCGTGAGTCAATTTGCTCGTTAACGCAACCGAGCGTGACAAGAGACTGGGCTACCAGTCTGCAAGGACAGCTAAATAAACTTACGCATTTTTGAAAACTGATTGGTTACCCGTGATCTATGAAGATTTCAACAAAGGGCGCATGGTAATTAATTTCTTCAGCCTAATCAAACAGACAAATAACGGCGAAAGCTCATCGGATGTCGTCATTTGGAAATACCCCTGATTGTTACAGTTTGATAATAAAAAAGTATCCCTGAGTGAAAGCATTTGCGGATTTCGGATTGCGTGGATGATACAATTACTACTCCCTTGTTGTCATCCACATTTTCTGGTATAACCCTACACTTAAGTATTTGTCGTAATTCACTTGCTGCTCAGTTAATGAATTTATAACATGTATTCTTAGTTGTAGCACCACTCAGATTACCCGATAAAGGTTCAAATTTGGTCTTTCTTGTACCTGGGGTAATTATTTAATCTAAATCCAGGTTTGAAGTGAGGTGGAATGTGAGTTATGCACGTCGCAGCCCAGCAAGTGATGTATGATCAGTTGCTTTACTTTTTTTGTAAATCAACTGATCATTCCCAGACATCAAAGGATCAACAGGAAATACGTTGATTGATTAATTACTGTTATCTTGCACAGTGGATATGTCAAAAGTAAGTGTTTACATGTGAAGGTAGGGTTACTAAACCTAGGGAATACTCATATCATGGCGTGAAGTACAGATGTAAAAACAACATACTTTGTTCAAAGGGTAACCGATAATACACTGACTGGTTGTTCATTGTTATCTAACTCAATGTATGTTTTTAAGAACCGTGGACATTATAAAAATAGTTGTCACGTGGGCTTTCTCAGCTAACTTGGCACCTATGTGAAACAATTGAAACAAAATAAGTGATCAGTTAAGAAACAAACACGGGTTATACTATTCGATACATTTAAATAACGTTTAAAAACGATATATTTAAATATTTTAATATATTTCATATATATTCCAAATATTGTCTCCAAATAATTATTATTAAAGTATTTAATTCTCACATAGACATTTTACATCGAATAAGTATTTTTGTACAGCTGCAGACGCAATGGATATTGTTCCTGTATGTTGATATTCCCGGATACATTATAACTTTGTTAGGTTGTTATAATGATTTTTGCATTTTGTTTTCATTCATTCGCTGCAGCTTTGAACAGAATCATTCTTGTTCCTTTCCGTTTGGTTGGGAAGTTTTTCGATGCGCGATAGACGGTGTTTTCACAAGTATTTTCTTTTGTAAGCGTGTATATGTTACAGTCAATGTGTAAAATATGATTCACTCAGGCAATTTATTAAATATCTAAATATTTCAGTCATTTTACAAATTGACTGAATAATCCATTCATTTATTTAACCGACTGACTAAAAATGATAAAGACGACCAAGAGAGCTTAAACACATCACAATATATTAATTATGCTAAGAAAAGAAGCCAAACAATACAGAACTGTACTTGGTGATGGTATTAAACATAAACAAATATTTGGAATTCGTTATCATATTAATAAAGATGGACATATTTTTCAGTTAATTTGTAAAATAAACTGAATATTTAGGCGTTTTAATACATTTCCTTAGTGAAATCTGTTTACATTTTGAATGTAAACATATACACACGGTAAAATAAGCAATGTTCAGTGAAATATTTACTCTGTGTTGCAAGTCAAAATAGTGTACACGAAGATCACAATTACCAAGCAAGTGACTTATCAAAACTGCATCACCATTACCGATGCTCCCCACAAATATACCTACATTTCAAAAACTGTATTTCATTTTTGTTGATCAGTGTGACCATACGTCCTTATACTTTCAATTAAAATGCGCTTACGAATGGCGAGCACAGGTCGCGAACAAGTCTAGATTTCTGCTATATCATCCGGGTACTCACTGGAAAAATACAGTAATGCACAGGTAACAACTACTCCCGCGGAATTGCTTTAGATCAGTGTCCTTTGTACGTTGAAATACTATATATTGTGAAAGACAAAATGATGTATCAAGGATCAAGTAGAAGATACATTGACCGTTGCGCTGGGAGTTTATTCAACAGACCGTGAAAATAACACTGCTGTATCTTATTATTTATTTTAGATGATGCAGGCAAAGCTCACTTCTCCTGGCGGCCATTATCAAACGGCCAGCTAAAACACAACCCCGCGCTTACTTCTACAGGTCTCTTCCTGTAGTACGGTAATTAGTATTCTCTCCCTCAAGTGTATCCTCAATGATATAACCCACCCTCATTAATTACATGCTGCTCTTTTCCAGCCTCACGGCTATGGAGCTGTGATAAAGAGTCCAAGTCATCATAAAGTAATTAGGGTCCAATAAAAACAATGCGCCGCCAAACCTCATACATATTATCACTGAAAGTCGTACTACAGACGGTTAATGTCAAATCACAATAAAAGCATTTCAATTGCATTAACATGTTCCAGGACCATGTATTCTCTTAACACCATCGGATTTAGAAGCAATGGTCGTATAAAACAAAACAGATCTATTTAATCGCAACAGTATTCATGTTATTCCCACAAAATCACATAAAGAAAGGAGACATTAGGAAATACATGTGTATTATCATTTTTCGTCAGGATAACCAAATTTTCTCTCCTTGTTACCACCTCCAGGTTCAGCTTAAGACGGGTCCTCCTTTGGTCAAAAGTTTGTTCCCCCTCTAATGAGTGTGTCACGCGTTGCACACGAGTGGCGGACGGGGTGCACACCCGTGTGCAACGCGTTGCACACGGGTCTCACACGCGTGACCAACCCGATGCACACTAGTTGCGTAACGCGTTGCCCATGCGTGTAAGGGGAATGAACTTCTAGGCAGTAGTGTAGGTCGTTTAGTATATTACTTAAACTTATGAATATTGAAAGGATTGTTTCGCCCTTTAATCACGATTATACATTATTGAACAACATGAATAACATATATACATGGTTATTAAATTAACTTGTGACAGCTGCATGGAATAACTAGGAAAACAACATATGGTACTTTGCTATGAATATCAATGAGCTCATGATTTCAGCGAGTGTGCGAGTACATTGCGGTGGAGGGGCGAGTTGACAAAGGTAAGTCATATGTACACGACATATAACGAATACTTCGTAGAAGGTTATGAGTATATTCACAAGGGAGTGCTTTGAACTAAATATTAATGCTCATATACATTGGGAAATGCTTCTAAAAACGAGTATAAATTCCCTATGCCAATTGATAGGATTGAGTGTGTGACTTGGCAGATTGTGTTCTCGTGGATGGTTTGCCGACGTGATATTGCTGGAATATTGCCGACTTTGGCGTAAAAGAATGTTCACTGTAAGAACGATAAAAGACAGAAAAATCTGATAAACTTAAAATCTAAGGGACAACATGTCGAGGTGTAATTTGGTATGGTTTCTTTTGCTCTTCATTGTAGTTCCCATTAATGACTGAAATGCTGTCATTGATCTGTCACAAATGTTCAGAACACGTCGTTTATAACACACAATAGTTGCTTAAGTATACATATATTGTCTCCATACATTTATTTATCCAGAAGGTCTGAGATAGAAGTTTTTGTTTGTTTTGTTTGTTTGTTGTTTAACGCCGCACTCAGCAAGTTCTTGTGCTGAGATTATCCAAGTTGTCCTGGGTTTTGGTCATTAAGCAGTTGTTTATGTACATTCATTTTCCAATTGAATACAATTGGGCCTCGTTTTTCCTCCATACATTTATTTATCCAGAAGGTCTGAGATAGGCGGTCTGTAAATAATCGAGTCAGGACAAGACAATCCAGTGATTAATATCATGAGCATCGATCCACGGAATTGGGATCGATGACATGCTTCAACCAAGTCAGCGAGCCTGACCACCCGATCCCGTTAGTCGCCTTTTACGACAAGCATAGTCACCTCTTACGGCAAGCATGGGTTGCAGAAGACCTATTCTATCCCGGTCTGAGACCTGCATCACTTCGGGCTTTCCTCCCACATTAAGCTGACACGCCGTGATATAACTGGAATACTGTTAAAAGCGGAGTTAAACCCAACTCACTCACTCACTATTCTACCCCGGAATCTTCACGGGTCCCTCGCATTCATTATAATTACGATGCGACGAAAGATTGCTGAATAAATGGAGCAGACAAAGAGATAACATTTCATTGGAACTTTGGAAACCTTGACACAATTAGGTATTTTGGCCAAAAATGAGCTTTAAACACAAGTATTGTTGTGATTTCCACTTTGACATAAACATAATTTCAATAATGTGAATCATAAAGTACATCATCAAGGGAATATTACATTATTCCCTTATCAATTGATTAATCATCTGCAATAAAACATGTTTAAATGTTTCATTATCTGTTTACAAGATGCAGTGGTTAAACGCTTTCAAGGCAACAACAATAACAGTGATTTTGATTACCTTTTTGGACTCAATTGAATTTCAACAAAGTCAGTGTGGAACGGACACAAGTAAGTTGCGAGATGCTCATATGACCATCTTCATTATCATATTACATCATTCAGTAAATAGTAGAGACGCTGTCCGTGCGCATGCGTAATATCCTAGGTCAAGGTTCATGCGCACGTTAGTAGTCCTTTGGTCATGCTTCTTTCATGCTCTTCATTCTCCAAGTCGCATTTAGCACAATTATGACTTGAGCTTAAAAATGCTATGTAATTTACAAACACAAAGTCCTATGTGGAATAGAGTAGATTCCTCTCCCGTTGTGACACTTCCCTATGTACTTTATACTTAAACCCTCAACATGCTAGTAGTTGGGGACAGGTCTACAGGACCGCTCCTGGCCTCTGATTGGTCGGTTTGGTCACGTGGCCAACCCAGACTACTTGGAAACCGTACCACCAGACCGCGTTCCCATAGAACTACCGTCTTTTCTTTGACAGGGTGATCGATGACTTCTATCACCTTCTATCAACAGATGTCAGGCCAGAAGGGGGATTGTATTTGTCTAGGTATCATTGTACGGATCAAGAACGAAGATCAATTCTGTTTGGCAAGGTCCCGTGTGGTGGCACAGCATTATGTCCAGAAGGTCAACCCTCTGACCCAAGAATGGACCAACCAGCGAATGAGACTGACGGAGAACGTTCAAGGCATACGAGCACGGGACTTGTTTCGGCACCTTGGCATTCCCGAAGGTCCCTGTCGGGGCCTGGACGACCCAGCACGCGTGGGACGTGCCTTGGCCGAAATCAACTATCAACTGAAAGTCTACAGTCAAGAGGTGGACCGGATACTGATGTACAAGTGTGATGAAACTCCACCCAACGCCACCGTGCTGCATTTATTCCATCATGATCACCACTACGATTTCTATGCCAGCCTTTTATGCGTCTAACCATTACTGCGAACTCTGCGACCACAGTTATGATCGTCCCGAAAAACATCCCTGCACCAAGCAATACCGCTGCCACCGCTGCCTCCACTCCAGCTATTGTGGACCCAAGGAAGAGCACGGGATCTCTTGCTTGACATGTCAACGATGGTTCCCAAATCAACACTGTTACACCCAACATCTCCAGTCACGGTCAGAGGGAAAACCAAGCGCCTGTCAATCGATTCACAGGTGCCTGACCTGTTTTCAGCTTGTACACGTCTTGGAGACCCGCATGGCTCATAACGAGTGCTCAGATGAAGGACGTCCATGCTCAGTGTGTTCGAGAAACCCGTGACCCCAGACCATCGCTGCTACATGACTGCCCTTTGTGAAGCCCACGATGAAGAGGAGGGGGGAGGAGGAGGAATGCTACAACCAAAACCGACGAGACAACGTCAAATACGTCTTCTATGATTTTGAATGTAGGCAAGACACTGGGGAGCACATCCCAAATTTGTGTGTGGTGCAGTTAGGATGTGGGCGATGCATCGGTCAAGCGACAAAGGAGTTGTGCGAACACTGTCCATGGAGACAAGAAGGTTACGGTCCCAGCCGCATGATAGTGTTTCGAGGCCCCACCACACTATGCAATGTGTGTGTCTGGTTGACACACACGAAGAAGAAGAAGAACCAAGAGGAGGAGGAGGGCGCGCACGTCCAGGCAAAAGAAAACAGGACGGAACCCTCTCAACCCATCCCCCGACAAAACGTCAGCGACGTACATCACCCCAGGAGGAGGGGAAGGGGGAGGATGCCATGGAGGTGGACACGCCCACCCCATTTGAGGAGGGGGAGGAGGGGGAGGAGAAGGAGACGAAGAAGACGAAAAAGACGAAGAAGAAGAACACCACCGTCGACATGTAGCTCATTCATGTGATTGCACATAACGCGCGAGCCTATGATCTGCACTTGATCATGAAGGGCCTGTACCCACATCTGGTGAAACTCCCCACCAAGGTTCGGAATTGACAACAGATTTTACAGGCGACCCTGGGACGATTGTGTTTCGAAGACAGTTTGAATTTCATAACCCATCCGCTGAATGAACTGAAAAAAGGTTTCTTCCTCACTTTTTCAAGCCGTCATGTACGATCCCGATGGCATGTCTCCCGCAAAACGCACTGCCTGCCTCCAGTGGCATACCAAGAAAGTTCAAGAAGGAGCCTTGTTTGACTGAAAGAAGAACTCTTAGCCTACTGTGAGAGCGATGTCGATATTTTGGGATGTGGATGTGCTGACTTCCGACAGAACTCCATCAGGACGGTTCGCAAGGATCCCTTTGTAGAGATGATGACGATCCCTGCGACCCCGATCTGCACCTCCAGAACGCCAGGAATGGAGGTGAAAAGTGAGTTCACGTGTGGAGAGGGTAAAAATCATTACAGTGTGGATGGCTATGATCCAGCGACAGGCACCATCCACGAATTCCGGGGGTGTTTCTGGCATGGGTGACAGAAATGTCACAAGACCGAACGTGGAGAACCTCATGATGTCCTTGGCACGTTGATTGGAGCACGCTATACCGACACCCACTATCGCCTGAGTCTCTTGAACCAACACCCTGATGTGAAACGTGTCGTCACCCTGTGGGAATGCGAGTATAAAAAAATGCAACAGGAGGACTCCGCTTTATGTGCTTTCTTGCAGGGACCCCACTGTATCCACTTACCTGGTCCGCAAAACCTGGCGACGCCTTCTATGGATGACGAACCAATGCCACTCGATTATGCTACGAAGCCCAAGAAGGGGAAACCATCAAGTATATCAATATCTGTTCACTTTATCCCTACATTTGCATGACCGGAGCGTTTCCCACGGGACACCCGACCCTTCTCAATCAACCGCCTGTGGACACGTTGTTTGAGCTGAAAGGACTTATCCAATGTCGTGTCCTACCCCCGAAACGACTCTACCATCCGCTACTACCCTACAGATTGGGTGGAAAACTGCTCTGTCCTTTGTGCCGCACGTGTGCCGATACCCAGGTCAGACTCACCCTGCGAGCACACGGACGAAGAGATCGGTAAATGGTGCGATAGTCTTTTTGGATGGGTTTGGTCACAAGAGCGTTCCAATGCCCAGGTCCTTTACGAATGATCTGATGGGGGTAATGGAAGCTGATTTTCTCCCCCTCCTTCCCAGGCCGTTGTCCCAGTATCAGTCCTTTCATGGTGTCAAAGTTGAGGTGTTGTTGGTTTCTGTAATTCAAGGTGAACCCTCGCACTTTGCAGGTCTTGCATGTTCCATCGGGTCTGGGGTTCATTTACTCATAGCCATAGTTTATGGGGCCTCCTGACACACATGTCTTGATGGTGTTTCCGTCCAGTTCGTCTGTAAACTCACCCAACAAATGGCCAAGCTCTGGATTCGTTTCGTGGGGTCGATGAATGTTAATGATGCTGTCCGTGTCGAAGTACAAGGCCCTTCGACCCACCAAGGCGAGGGTGTCCTACAGCTTGAGACGTGCTTGTGCGGTGACCCAAGTAGCTAAGGCGACATTGAAATGAGTATGAGGGGTTTGGAATTCTTCCTTGTGGGTATAGGTCTCTTCCACCATGTGTTCGTTGACGACAGTGACATCATCGATGGTATTTCGTTCATCTCTCCACAAGGCAAAGTACTGCGCAGGGTCGTATATAGTCTAACCGCTGTCCGAACTTGCCCCAGAGTGAATTAAGAAAGAGCTTGGCAATAGCGCGGCGTCCTGGTTTCTTCTCGGTGCGGTCCTTGTCCAACCGAATGCCTTCTTTGTCATAGATCTCCTGGATGTAAGCATCGTGTTCGGTACATTCCTCGGAGTATCCGCTAGCTTCGAGCTTCTCCTTGAAATGACGGTCGCTATAGGGGTCAAAGAGTCCTTCTTGATGGGTCTCAGGGTCATGCTTTGCAAAGGTGTTGAAATGCCAAACGTCGAAGATCTGAAGTACCTTGTAGCCATACTTCTTCACGGCTTCATGGAGTTCTACGGTGGCGTACGTGCCCACCCAAGACCTCTCTTTGTCCTTGTGCTCGCAGGGTGAGTCTTACCGGTTATCGGCACACGTGCGGTACAAAGGACAGAGCAGTTTTCCACCCAATCTGTAGGGTAGTAGCGGATGGTAGAGTCGTTTCGGGGGTAGGACACAACATTGGAAAAGTCCTTTCAGCTCAAACAACGTGTCCACAGGCGGTTGATTGAGAAGGGTCGGGTGTCCCGTGGGAAACGCTCCGGTCATGCAAATGTAGGGATAAAGTGAACAGATATGGATATACTTGATGGTTTCCCCTTCTTGGCCCTCGTAGCATAATCAAGTGGCATTGGTTCGTCCTCCAGAGAAGGCGTCGCGAGGCTTTAGCGGACCAGGTAAGTGGATACTCTCTTTCGCCTTCCCCCTTCACACCTTTCCGCCTTCCCGCCCACGCCATCCTGGAGGCGCCGAGCCGCCCTCTTGGAGGTGCGCCGAACCGAACGTGCCGCCATCTAGGAGACGCACGCAACCGGAACCGGAAGTGACGCCATCTTGGATGTGCGCGCATGACCCACAATGCACATTACGCGCATGCGCAGGCACGTGACCAAACCGACCAATCAGAGGTCAGGAGCGGTTATGTAGACCTGTCCCCAACTACTCATGCTCAATATAATTTAACAAAAGAAATTGTGTACATGCATGTCCAATGATAGTGAAAAACATTAATGTGTCCGAAAGCTGGAAACAAAACTATCACCGTCGGTGAGTGATTGAGTAATATTGCATAAAGCCGCATCAGCAGTATTGCAGCTATTCGCGGCTACACTGTCAGTTACAGAAATAATCACAAGCCAGTGAGTTTCTCAATGAGGTAATTTTATACACAGCTAGAATATTCATTAAAATACAATTATCACAGACCAATTTGTAGCATTCAGCTAAAATTATATTTTTTTATACGATACCATATTCGCTACTTTAATTAATAGACTTTCATCCGCTCCCGCCTGACAACAAAACATCCTGCCTTACATTATTCTAATGCCCTCAAATTCCTAGAAATAGAAGTATCGTTAATATGAGTGTTCCTACTTTCCTACCTGATAAAATACTCCGTACC